ATCTATCAGGGTGTTGGTGCTGGCCACAGGCAGTCCACTGAAGGCATTACAACCCGTCTCATCAAGGAACTTACCTAAGGAACTTATTAATTTTTGGTTACAGGTCACAGGAGCTAGTTAGGAGGGCTGGTTTTCAAGATAACACTGTAAGCATTATTAAGAGAAGCCACAGACTTGCGCACAGCCCAGGGAGAACCTCAGTTACTTAGTCCCTATTATCCTGGTTATCCTGCTTTACGTAGGTAAAACTGGATATTCCTGGGTATCATTAAATATCCCTGGATATCTCCCTAACTAGTTTTTTTTTAGATATCCTCCCTGTCGGCATTGCTCTCTTGCTGTCGTCTCCCGCACCTTCACCATCCATCTTATGTTTACAATCTATCTCCCTTCCCTGCCTCACCTACCTTCCCTGCCTCACCTGCCTTCCCTGCCTCACCTGCCTTCCCTGCCTCACCTACCTTCCCTGCCTCACCTACCCTCATTCTCTTCCTGAGCCACCTGCTCCCTGCTCCAACTGCCCTTCCTACCCCCCCTCCCTGTCTTTCTTTCAGGTCCTCGTTACCTACACAATAGGAGTCCTATACCTTTCTTGCTTAACGCACCTGCTGCCTGGAGACACTTTGTTTTTATTCATTCCAGTATCAAAATATTGTGATGGGAAGGACAAGGGAAAATCTGTCTCCATCTTCATATATATTGAGTTGGTTTTTATCCTCTGAATTTAAATATCTTGTGTTTACACGTGGCTTTCATGTTTCCTGTTTTCCTCCTGTCACCCAAACCAGCAAGGATATTTTTAGTGCTCTTAGAGCCCAAAAGTTGTCCTCGTTAGAGTCATTTTGTAGTTCAAAGAGATATTTTGTAGCTATAAAACCCATTTTGAGGTTTTTAGAGTCATGTAACTTCCTACATCCCTATTTTTGACAGTGCCAGATGTGTGTTCTTGGTCCCTCTGACGTGTGTTGTCACTGATGCTTGTTAGGTCCCTCTGACGTGTGTTGTTACTGATGCTTGTTAGGTCCCTCTGACGTGTGTTGTTACTGATGCTTGTTAGGTCCCTCTGACGTGTGTTGTCACTGATGCTTGTTAGGTCCCTCTGACGTGTGTTGTCACTGATGCTTGTTAGGTCCCTCTGACGTGTGTTGTCACTGATGCTTGTTAGGTTCCTCTGACGTGTGTTGTCACTGATGTTTGTTAGGTCCCTCTGACGTGTGTTGTCACTGATGTTTGTTAGGTCCCTCTGACGTGTGTTGTCACTGATGTTTGTTAGGTACCTCTGACGTGTGTTGTCACTGATGTTTATTAGGTCCCTCTGACGTGTGTTGTCACTGATGTTTGTTAGGTCCCTCTGACGTGTGTTGTCACTGATGCTTGTTAGGTCCCTCTGACGTGTGTTGTCACTGATGCTTGTTAGGTCCCTCTGACGTGTGTTGTCACTGATGCTTGTTAGCTCCCTCTGACGTGTGTTGTCACTGATGCTTGTTAGGTACCTCTGACGTGTGTTGTCACTGATGTTTGTTAGGTCCCTCTGACGTGTGTTGTCACTGATGCTTGTTAGGTACCTCTGACGTGTGTTTTCACTGATGCTTGTTAGGTACCTCTGACGTGTGTTGTCACTGATGCTTGTTAGGTACCTCTGACGTGTGTTGTCACTGATGCTTGTTAGGTCCCTCTGACATGTGTTGTCACTGATGCTTGTTAGGTACCTCTGACATGTGTTGTCACTGATGCTTGTTAGGTACCTCTGACGTGTGTTGTCACTGATGCTTGTTAGGTACCTCTGACATGTGTTGTCACTGATGCTTGTTAGGTACCTCTGACATGTGTTGTCACTGATGCTTGTTAGGTACCTCTGACATGTGTTGTCACTGATGCTTGTTGGGTACCTCTGACATGTGTTGTCACTGATGCTTGTTAGGTACCTCTGACATGTGTTGTCACTGATGCTTGTTAGGTACCTCTGACGTGTGTTGTCACTGATGCTTGTTAGCTACCTCTGACGTGTGTTGTCACTGATGCTTGTTAGGTACCTCTGACATGTGTTGTCACTGATGCTTGTTAGGTACCTCTGACATGTGTTGTCACTGATGCTTGTTAGGTACCTCTGACGTGTGTTGTCACTGATGCTTGTTAGGTACCTCTGACATGTGTTGTCACTGATGCTTGTTAGGTACCTCTGACATGTGTTGTCACTGATGCTTGTTAGCTACCTCTGACATGTGTTGTCACTGATGCTTGTTAGCTACCTCTGACATGTGTTGTCACTGATGCTTGTTAGGTACCTCTGACATGTGTTGTCACTGATGCTTGTTAGGTACCTCTGACGTGTGTTGTCACTGATGCTTGTTAGCTACCTCTGACGTGTGTTGTTACTGATGCCACCTAGGTCCCTCTGACATGTGTTGTCACTGATACCATCTAGGTCCCTCTGACTTATGTTGTCACTGATACCATCTAGGTCCCTCTGACTTATGTTGTCACTGATACCATCTAGGTCCCTCTGACTTATGTTGTCACTGATACCACCTAGGTCCCTCTGACATGTGTTGTCACTGATACCATCTAGGTCCCTCTGACTTATGTTGTCACTGATACCATCTAGGTCCCTCTGACTTATGTTTGTCACTGATACCATCTAGGTCCCTCTGACTTATGTTGTCACTGATACCATCTAGGTCCCTCTGACTTATGTTGTCACTGATACCACCTAGGTCCCTCTGACTTTTGTTGTCACTGATACCACCTAGGTCCCTCTGACTTGTGTTATCACTGATACCACCTAGGTCCCTCTGACTTGTGTTGTCACTGATACCACCTAGGTCCCTCTGACTTGTGTTGTCACTGATACCACCTAGGTCCCTCTGACTTGTGTTGTCACTGATACCACCTAGGTCCCTCTGACTTTTGTTGTCACTGATACCACCTAGGTCCCTCTGACTTGTGTTATCACTGATACCACCTAGGTCCCTCTGACTTGTGTTGTCACTGATACCACCTAGGTCCCTCTGACTTGTGTTGTCACTGATACCACCTAGGTCCCTCTGATTTATGTTGTCACTGATACCACCTAGGTACCTCTGACTTGTGTTGTCACTGATACCACCTAGGTCCCTCTGACTTGTGTTGTCACTGATACCACCTAGGTCCCTCTGACTTTATGTTGTCACTGATACCACCTAGGTCCCTCTGACTTGTGTTGTCACTGATACCACCTAGGTCCCTCTGACTTGTGTTGTCACTGATACCACCTAGGTCCCTCTGACTTGTGTGTCACTGATACCACCTAGGTCCCTCTGACTTGTGTTGTCACTGATACCACCTAGGTCCCTCTGACTTATGTTGTCACTGATACCACCTAGGTCCCTCTGACTTGTGTTGTCACTGATACCACCTAGGTCCCTCTGACTTGTGTTGTCACTGATACCACCTAGGTCCCTCTGATTTATGTTGTCACTGATACCACCTAGGTCCCTCTGACTTGTGTTGTCACTGATACCATCTAGGTCCCTCTGACTTATGTTGTCACTGATACCACCTAGGTCCCTCTGACTTGTGTTGTCACTGATACCACCTAGGTCCCTCTGACTTGTGTTGTCACTGATACCACCTAGGTCCCTCTGATTTATGTTGTCACTGATACCACCTAGGTCCCTCTGACTTGTGTTGTCACTGATACCACCTAGGTCCCTCTGACTTGTGTTGTCACTGATACCACCTAGGTCCCTCTGACTTGTGTTGTCACTGATACCACCTAGGTCCCTCCTCACTGACTCCTTATCAATGATAGCTTCTAGATTTCTTTCTCTTGTGTTAATATTTGATCACACAATCTCCATTTTTTTCACTTGGCTGGCTGTCAGTTTCCCCTATTTCCATTACAGCTCACTTATCTACAGTAAATTCCATCAGCTATCTGTCTCTTCGTATAATAAAATTTTCTTTGTCAGTCATTGCAGACTCGCAGAGATACGTTTCAAGGAGTTTTTTCTAGCGACGTGGCTGCTGCACGGTAGAGATGTATCGGATATCCGCATCCGTGAAACATCCGCACAATTTCTCACATCCGCATCTGCATTTTGCTGTAAACAGATATCCACAGCCGCGAAATAAGTAAGACATCCTCATACACATCCGCATCCGCGGATATCTAAATTTTCACATCCGATACATTTCTACAGTGTCTAGTACTGCCTAGTAGAGATGTATCGGACATCCGCATCCGCGGAACATCCTCGCAAATTCTTACATCGGCATCTACATTTTACTGTAAATAGATATCCGCATCTGCAAAATAAGTAAGACATCCTCATACACATCCTCATCCGCGGATATCTAAATTTTCACATCCGATACGTCTCTACTGCACGTACCACATACACATTGAACTCTATTCCGTCTCTTCCTTTCATATGCTGTGCATTTCCCCGTCTCCTTTCATATATATTTTTCCTTCAACACTGGGCATGCCCTGTTTCACTCCTACAGTATACACCTCTTGCTAGGATTCTACTGCATGCCTCTTGTTCATTCTATGTTACTATGCTTGCATCCCTCCTTCTCTCTCGTCTACTTATCTTTTCCCCCTCCCTGCCTACCCCTCGACCATTAATCTCACTCATTGCCTCAGTGATTACCTTCATCAAGGGCCTCTTCCCCCTCATTACCCAGGCGTGGGCTAGCTCTCTCTCTCTCTCATGTACTGCTACCCAACACTAGGATAGGAAATGTTTGATGCTCCCTATTTCTACTCAGTCTTCATCTTCCCCTCTCATCTCTTTCCCTCACTGCCTCTCCACTCCTTCCCTACGCATCCTCGATCCCTTTCTCTTTCTTCCACCCCTTTCTTCCCTCCATCTCCTCTTGTTACTGCCATACGTATTGTTATCGTAGCTTCACCGATATTTCTTCCATCTCAAAATGCCAGATCAAACTTATCACCACCACTCACCACTATCACTACCAGCACCTCCGCTAAACACCAACAATGTCTCCAACAGACGCATCTTGGAGGTTCATTCGGCGGACGAGTTCTACACAGTGATGGGCGTCCTCACCAGAGAGATGCTCACTTTCGGTCTTATGGACGCCAACCACCTGGTCCAGGTCAGTCTCTTCTCCCCCTCTCCCCTCTCCCCTCCCCCTCTCCCCCTCTCCCTCCTCTCTCTCTCCTTTCTCTCCTCTCTCCTTCTCTCTCTCTCTCTCTCCTCACTCTCCTCCCAAACGGGTAAAATCTACACAGTACCGGTACAGCTGCGATACATTTCATCCTTTAAACCTTTTATGTTTTCTACTGTGGGGTAATTTTGGTTTTTTCTGCAGCCTACTGCTAGTTGCAGCCTGGCAGTTGCACACCTGGTGCAGTTGCACAGCCGGGTGCTGTTTGCACACCTGGGCTATTGCACAGCCTGCTGCTTTTTTGCACACCTGCGCAGTTGCACGCCTGCTGCTAGTTCACAGCCTGCTGCTGTGCCAGCCTGGGCGGTTGCACAGCCTGGTGCAGTTCCATCCCCCTTGACGTGCCCCCCCCCTGAAGCTTAATGCACTTGAAATTTCCCCCTTTAAATGCAGTTAATCACGCCTAGGATCTCAGCTTCGTTGAATCATACAGTTGAATCTTTTAAATCATATGGTTGGACCTCTACATACACTGGACTTCAAAATCATAAACTTTTGATCACTGAACATACATTTGGACCTCCGAACATGAAAACTATTAGAGGGGTTTATATCCTATGTTTTGAAATAAGTAGAAAAAATTATCGGGCAGTGGGATAATAATAAAATTTAAAAATTTATAATGGCAGTTGTTAAAACGTTAACTTAATACACCCATCAACAACTTTAGCAATATTTTTTAAGAGAGAGAGAAAGAGGGGTAAACAGGAAACCCTATGCAGATTTGTAATTACAATGAACCTCAGAGGTGTAGACCTAAGGCCCCGGGTTTTTACGACTGGAATAGCTTTAATTACTCCTGTGTAAATGCTCTTCGAAAATCCACCCTGTGAAAATTTATTCTGTTGAAACACAAGAGTGCAGAACGATGATACCCTGTGTAAATTTTTGGTTAATAACACCACCTTATTCAATGCTGCTATACCACCCTGTGTAAATATCTGTGAAGCGCCACAGATCCCCCCCCCCCCCCACACCCAAAAATTTTCACTGTACATTTACATATATCCACCCGGGAAAATGTTAAGTCTTTATACTTGGAAAATTTGATCCACTGGTGGGGCAGTCATATTCCCTCCAGGATTTTTAACATACACATGAAACGTGCATTTTAATATTAAGGGCGAATGTATATTAGGGTTTATATAAAATGAAACAGTGGTGATCGATTAAATGGTGACTTGGTGGAGTGTATACCGTATTCCGGCTTTTAAACCTTTTTTCCCCAAAAATGTACCCAAAAACCACCCCCCCTGCGCGTCTTATAAGCTGCAAAATACAGAAAACTCGTGTAAACCTGATACCCATTTGGGGTAACGTGTAAACTTTTTAAAGTTTAACACTTATAACTTTTAAGATTATATGGGGCTGGTGATGTGAAGTGGGGGAACATGGAGTACAGGAGCCTTTTACCTCACGAAGCCTGTGCACTCCCAATAGGTTTAAAGAGTTTAAAAAAACCTGTATGCAGCCGAGTTCTCTGAAAAATTTGCAATTATACTTTTGTCTTATTTTTATAATCAGTATAAAAAAATTTATATCCGGGCGAGTGAGGTAAGACCATACGCAACACTTGACTATCTTTATTACCCGATATTTCGCCCCTCAGTCCGAGGAACTATGGTGGTGAACACAGCAAATCGAAGGACGGGCCTCCTCAAACGTACCTTTCAGGCATAGGGACCGACACCCCGTATCTACATTCCCTACCGTTTCACCTCCGTTTTTCGGGCGAAACGTTTCGACAAGGTTGTGCAAGTGGAAAGGGCACTTACTACCACCGCGCAGATGATCACGTCACACAACACTTACATCAGGGAGACCGGGAAGTTGCCGGGGTTTTTCTTTTTTTACCCCCCTTTGGAGAAAAGGGAACGCCTTTCATCTCGCCGAACATGGAAAATACCAGCGGGGAAATGTCATCTTTCTACGCAGTTAGATTATACTAGCATACGAAAGTGGATTACCCTAACCCCCGTCAGGCCCGACCACCGGGCCCCGGGCTCACGTCGGTTTTTCGTGCTACCACAGTAACAGCCGGATCAGCCTTATCCACCACAGGGTTGGGCACAGACCGGGCCGCGGGGTGGACCCCCGAAATCACCCCCCAGGTAAATCGGCTTTAGTAACAACAATCATGAACGAAATGTAGCTCGTACCAACCCATCAAAATAGGGACACACAAAATACCCCTTTTTCCTCTCTCTCTCTCTCTCTCTCTCTCTCTCTCCCCCTTTCTCTCCTCCTCCTCTCTCTCTCCTCTCCCCTTCTCCCCCTCTCTCCCTCTCTCTCTTCTCTCCTCTCTCTCCTCCCTTTTTCTCTCTCTTTTCTCTCTTCCTTCCTCTCCTCTCTCTCTCTCTTCTTCTCTCCTCTCTGTCTCCTCTTTCTCTGTTTTCCCCTCCTCCTCTCTCTCTCTCCCTCTCTCTCTCTCTGTCCCCTGCCTGTTCCCCGTCTCTGTCTCTTCTCCTCTCTCTCTCTCTCTCTCCTCTCTCTCTCTTCCTCTCTCCTCTCCTCTTCCTTTCCTTTTCTTCTCGTCTGTCTCTGTCCGCTCGTTTTCCCCTTCTCTTCCTCCCTCTCTCTCCTCTCTTTTCTTCTCTTTTCTCCCCCTCTTCTCTTCTCTCCCCTCTCTCTCTCTCTCTCCTCTCTCTTCTCTTCTCTTCTCTTCCCTTCCTTTGCTCGTCTCTTCCTCTTCCCCCTCTCTCCCCTCTCTCTCCCCCTTTTCTCTCTCTCTCTCTGTTTTTCCTCTGTCTCTGTTTTTCTCTCCTCTCTCTCTCTCTCTCTCTCTCTCCCCCTCCCTTCTCTCTTCTCTTTTCTTTTCTCTTTCTCTTTTTCTCTCTTCTCTGTCTCTGTCTCTGTCTCTCTCTCTCTCCTCTCCTCTCTCTCCCTCTCTCTCCTCTCTCTCTCTCCCTTTCCCCTTCTCGTCTCTGTCTCGTCTCTTTCTCTTCTCCCTCTGCTCTCCTCTCTCCCTCCTCCCCTTTTTCTTTTCTTCTGTCTCTGCTCTGTCTCTGTCTCTTCCTTCTCTTCTCTCCCTTTTCTCTTCTCTGTCTCTGTCTCTTTCCCTTTTTCTCTTTTCTCTTTTCTCTCTTCCTCTCTCTTCTCTCATTTTCCCTCTCTCTCCTCTCTCTGTCCCCTGTTTTTTCTCTTCTCTTCTCTTCTCTTCTCTTCTCTCCTCTCCTCGTCTCTTTCTGTCTCTGTCTCTGTTTTGTCTCTTCTCTGTCTCGTCTCTGTCCTCTCTCTCTCTCTTCTCTCTCCTTTTCTCCTGTCTCTGCTCCTTTTCTGTCTCTGTCCTGTCTCTGTCCCCTTCTCTTCTTTTTGTCTCTTCCTGTTTTCCTCTCTCTCTCTCTCTCTCTCTCTCCCCTCTCTTTTCCCTTTTTCTTTTCTCTCCTTTTCTTTTCCTTTTCTCGTCCTGTTCTGCCCCTCTTTCTCTTTCTCTCTCCTCTCTCTCCTCTCCTTCCCTCCCGCCCTTTTCTCTTTTTTCTCCTCTCTCCTCTTCCCCCTTCCTCTCCTCTCCCCCTTCTCTTCTCTCTCTCCCCACCCACATAAACAATATAATACAAGTTAACCATTCGCCAGAAACCCGTAATTTTTTTACATCGGGATATTTTCGTTGGGGTTGTTTTTTTTTGTAAAGCCATCTATTTTTTTTTTGTCAAACCATTTTGTTTTTTTTTCAGGCAATTGTCGTTTGTTGAAAAATTTTTTTGTGTCGGTTATGGTTGTTGGCTGAAGTGTATTTTGTACAGGTCTTTGGGTCTCTTTAAACCCCCCCGGGGGGTTGGTGTGTGTGTGTGTGTGTGTGTGTGTGTGTGTGTGTGTGTGTGTGTGTTTTGTGTGTTTGTGTGTCTGTGGGGTTTTTTGTTTTGTTTTTTGGGGTTTGTGTGTTTGTGTTTTGTGTGTGTGTGTGTGTGTTCTTGTTGGTCGTGTGTTTTTTTGGGTGTTTTTTGTGTGTGCTGTGTGTGTTTGGTGTGTTTGTGTGTGTGTGTGTTTTGGGGTGTGTGTGTGGGTGGTGTGTGTGTGTTTTGTCTGTGTGTGTTTGTGTGGTTTTGTGTTTTGTGTTTTTGTGTGTTTTGTGTGTCTGTGTGTGTGTGGGGTTGTGTGTGTGTGTGTCTGTGTGTGGGGGTGTCTGGTGTGTCTGTGTTTGTGTCTTTTTGGATTGTGTCTGTGTGTTTGTGTGGTGGTGGGGTGTCGGGTTGTGTGTGTCTGTGTTGTCGTGTGTGTCTGTGTGGGGTTTGGTGGTGTGGTGTGTGTGTGTGTTGTTTGTGTGTGTCTGGTGTGTGTGTCTGGTTGTGCTGTTGTATGTGTGTGTGTGTGTGTTTTTTCTGGGGTTGTGTGTGTCTGTGTGTGTGTGTGTGTGTGTGTGTTGTGTGTGTTCCGTGTGTGTGTCTGTGTGGGGGTTCCTGTTGTATGTGTTTGTGTGTCTGTGGTGTGTTGTGCCCTGTGTGTGTGTGGTCTGTTGTGTTTGTTGTGGTGTGGTGTTGTGTTGTGTGTTTGTGGGGTTGTGTGCGTTGCGTGTGTGTCTGTGTGTGTTTTGGTGTGTGGTGTGTGGTGTGTGTGTGTGTGGGTGTGTTGTGGGTGGGGTGTGTCTGGGGTGTTTGTGTGTGTCGGTGTTTGGGTTTTTGGTGTTGTGTGTGTCTGTGTGTCTGTGTGTCTGTGTTTTTTTGTGTTTGTGTGTGTGTGTCTTGGTGTTTGTGTTGGTGTTTTGGGGTTTTTTGTGGTGTGTGTTGTGTGTCTGGTGTGTTTTGTTGTGTGTGTGTTTGTTGTGTGTGTGTGTGTGGTGTGTCTGTGGTGTCTGTGTGTGTGTGTGGTGTGTGTGTTTGTGTGTACTCACCTAGTTGTACTCACCTAATTGGGGTTTGCAGGGGTCGAGACTCAGCCCTGCCCCCCCTCTTCACTGATCCTACTGGACCTCTCTCCCCTTTTGTTTTCCT